AGGGCGATCATGTATCTTTCGATACATGACTGACGAGGCAGATTTTTTTTCCGCAGTTTGCCATTTCTTTCGGCGGCAGAAAACAGTTAAATCTGAAAGATCTCGAGTAATTTCCATAAAACCAATATTTAACCACAGCTTGTGGGGTGGGGGAGAGAAGAAAAGGACTCATACCTTTCCCAAGGGTATTAGCACGTAAGTGAATGTAATGGATTCAAGTGGAATATCGAACTCGGCTCTCTGATTCCTCGATCCGAGCCGCTATCCATTACTTCACGATTAGAAGCTTAGATTGCGGATGCTTATTTTCAAGGACATTAACAAAACTGTATCATGATACAAAAAAAAAAGGACTAATTTCACATTAAAAAATATTTATTTTTCATCATCATTTTCTTCCATGTCAAAGTATTTCAGAGGTGAATATTAGCTACAGAGATCGAATAATATACAACGAAAATTTCAGCCGAAATTTCAGCTAACTACGTGTCATGCTACGGATTTCTTGATCTAGACTAGTGTATAGATACTATAATAATGTCATCTACGAGAGAGACTTTGATAAAAGGATCAAAGCGGCTCACAACTACGTACATAAAGCGCTCACATCGGATCTACAGCAATCACGGCCTAACCGTAACCCCCTCCCCCCCCAAGAAAAAACATACTCAATATTCACAGATTTCTCATTATATATAAACTAGTGTAGTGTTTCTCTCTCTGTTAGAGCCATGTCCTTTCGTGACCTAAATATTTTATTTAATATCTGTATTTATTTTTAATCATTTTAATCAAGCTAAGGATAGCAATCAAGCCACTATGATGTAAGGAGCTACTGAAAGTGAGAGAAATAGAGAAGAAAATATTCAATGAGAGAGAAGGTGACGACTGACATTGCATTTACATTTTGAAGATGGTATTTGACAGGAAAGCAAGTAATTGGAATAGAGTTAAACAGGCGAGAAGTTTGTTCATTATCTATCTATCTATCTATCTATCTATCTCTTAATTATCTATCTCTGTCTCTTCATTATCTATCTATCTCTTAATTATCTATCTGTCTCTTCATTATCTATCTATCTATCTATCTATCTATTTGTTAAATCATTTCACTCCAAGCAAGGCACTAGGATGGAGAGGTGTTACTGAGAGAGGACAATAAAAGATCAGGATTTAGGGAGACAGATGATGACGATTTCCATTGCATTTACATTTTTCACATCGTAGTTGACAGGAAGCTAGAAGAGAGTTCCACAAGCGAGAAGTGCAAAAAGAAGAAAACATTTGTCTATATTTTCCAGCTTCAAGCAGTGTATCTTCTGTTACACGGCACCGACGAAAAGGTAAACAGAGGGTTACTGAGGTTATTGCATGGACGTAAGAGAAGGAAGTAAGTGTACATTATGAAGATACGTATGACAGATTATAGTTGACGCGAACAGGCTAAGCTTGTAGTAATTTGTGGAGCATCCTCTCGGGTGTATGTTCCACAAAGTAGCGGTTTTCGGGAAGAAGCTGCCTGAGCTGAACTTTCTTCTTCTCAATGGAATACGAAGAGAATGAGCATGAGTCAACTCAGTGTACGTGGCACGGTGCGAGAAGGAATATACATTATCTGTCTATATTTTTGAGATGTGGTATTGTAATTATTTACACTATTTACATTTTTCGGACTGTTGCCCTCATCTTTGTTGTCATATTGACGACGTTTCGGCTGTTGTACGCTCCGGCCTTCTTCAGGTGATTGGAATCTCGAACTGAACCCTTTATTTCGTCCACTTGGGTAAATTGTTCTAGTTCAACGTGCCATGCCTCTTCCAGATGTCCCAGTTATCTCCCTTTAATTCAGCTCTCCAGGTATTGAGACTTTGGGCAAACCAACGCTTTTATTCATTGGGCCATATATACATATGATGAAGGGTTGTGCCGAACGAACCATACTTTTCGGAAAAACTGAATACAGAAAACTGGTGCACATTTGCGTGCAAGGTCTCTAAACTGCCTTCCTCAATTTTTGAATTCAGATTTTTCCTTCTCCTACACTGGTTTGCTAAGTGAAGCTAAAGAACCCAGTTTTTCCTAAAATTTAACCCACAGACTCGATCAAAACGTCATCCAGAGTCCCGTGGCTCATTAGGATCGTAAGGGCAATACATGTACTGCAGCCGTAGCAGCAGTGGTGTGTCTTAGGCAAGAAGAGTCTGACAGAGCCCAACACTCCACGCTGAATTCAGTTTTCCTTCTCTTAGGCTATAGGGTCCCGTCTGTCCTGCTATTCACCAATAGCGGGAGATGGATTCATACCTATCTCAAGTTTATTTGCGTGTAAATGAATGTAACGAACACGATTGTAATTCGAACTCGGCTCCAATTTCTCATTCCAAGCTGATCTCCATAACACCACCGCGCATCATTTAGATGATTGGCACAATACAATCTTCTCGTAAACCTGTAGCCATGTGATAGACTAAATGAAGCCCTTCTTCGTAAATACCTATTGAAATTAATATCTTTCATTTGACTAGCTAGTTCACGATTCATTGATGGTAATCTTTGTTGATACTGAAAGCAAATTTCGTACCATAGTTCATATGGTATTTTTTACATGAATTATATATATATATATATATATATATATATATATATATATATATATATATATATATATATATATATATATATATATATATATATATATATATATATATATATATATATATATATATATATATATATATATATATATATATATTATATATATTTTAAAACGAACAAACCTCCATCTGTTTTATTTTCCCTTCTCATTTGGATATATATATATATACAATTCTAAAAAGAAAATTCGGATATAACACACAAACAGAATGTCTCATATCGAGAATATTCCACATTGAACATGAAGAAAAATTAATTATTTTAATAATATGTAAAAATCTCCACTTTCACCTGAAGACGGTTGCGAGACCAGACCAGAAACACGTGTCGTGAAATTATGTAAAACAAAGTATAATATTTTTCTCAATAAATCCACATTACAACCAAAAACGTTTGCGGCACCCCTCTTCTTTTTAATATACATACTTTTCTCTCGTTGGAACCACTACAACATATTTTTTTATATATATATATATATATATATATATATATATATATATATATAATAATTTTGAAAGAAAGAATTATCTCATGTTTTTTCAGTGTGGATGACAATAGAAATGATATAGGAAGGCTCAATGAACGCATATAAAAAGCGTCTTTTCATTTTACCCATTGAGCTGTGAAAATATGTATATTTGTTCTCATTGTGCATACCATATTTCCTGATTGGAATCTCAGACCTTTACGAAAAACACAATAGCCAGCCGAATCAGTGAAGAAAACTATAAGTCGGTCACTATCGTTACGTTCCTGTTCATTGTCTTTCGACACCAACTTCAATAAAAGCTTTTTATTGGAGTTTGTGAAATCGCTATTGTCAATCGAAGAACGAAAGCCACAAAAAAGCGAAAAGGCTTTTTAAGAAAGAAAAAAAAAGTGGGAAACAGAACAGATAGATTTGAAACATCACCAGAAAATAGAATGAGATTAATAAAAACACAAAGCATAAAAACACAAGATCGATCAATATGAAGAGGTATGACGATAAACTACATCAGGCAGCAAGGCCTCTAATCGGGGGAATGGGGGGTTTGAGAAGCCTGGAACCTTCTCTTGCTGTTGTTCACAAGTCCACTCTGACCTGAGGCTGTAGCACCTGTTAGGGTCCCAGCTATGGGCAAATAGTTAATCCCCAAACATCATGAAAGTATGAAAATAGATTTTTATAGTAAAAATACCAGCAATACATTTTTATATAAAAAAAATCGAAAATGCATGACCAACAATACATTTTATCTGCAGTTGAAGGCATACAATTGCGTTCAAAATATATTTAGTTGAAGCCATAAAATTGTGTTCAAATAATTTAGATTTCGGCATGAAATAACCCCTAGTTGTTGATATGTCGCTAAGAAAATCACTAAAAAAAAAAAACATCAACTTTCATGACATTAATCTATAAAACCTACAATTTCTTAAATTAAATTGTATTCCAAAATAACTTAAAAAACAACATAAATCACACATATCACTGCCTCTAGTAATTGTTCACACAAATTGTATATGCAAAAAATCCGAGTATCATCTACCATGTATTCAATTGTGAAAGCAGAATAACATATTTTTATTACTTCAAACCTCCCAAGAAAATTAAATTTCGGCATGAAATGACTCATAAAATATTGATATGCCGTTAAACAAATTAACTAGTACGAACAGAATGCTATTCTTCTTCATTGACATACCGTATCCCTACAGGACATGGATGATCAAGACTTTCCACAACTTTCTACCCTATGTGGCTCTAAGAAATATTTGTCCCCTTACTATACCTCACAATGCCCGTTCTGCCATCTATTTACACAAACTCATTAGGTAGTTTACACGCTTTCAATATGTCTAGTGAGGGTTAAATTCTCCAAGCCTTCTTTCATCAATATGTCCCAGAAATGTCAACTGTTTTTAATTCTAATACAAGTGTCCCTTTTCTTTTAAAACTTTCTCATTGTTTACATGTTCCATCCATGGTATTCTCAACATCCTTCTGTTTCCTCACGTTTCTTCATCTGTGAGGAAATTTCCCAAAATTCACTAACGTACAGGAGGATTGATTGTTTACTTGATGTGATTGATTCATTTTCTACGGCTTATCAACCCTTTGAAGGTTATTTAAAACCAGCAAATATTTTTAGATTGAAAGAATTTCTTTTTGGAGATAATAATTACTTAGTGGTACAAGTTTTACTAATTAACCTGTAGCTAGTGAGGAGAAAGGGTGGATTCATTCCTTTTTCAAGTGTATTTGCGCATAAATAGATATAACGAACACAACTGGAATTGGAACTCGGTTCTCCGAATAACAATTCCGAGCCATTATTCATTACACCATCCGTACATTCAAGCCTACAGCACCTGATATTCCCAAGTGATCACCCATCTAGGTACTGACCAGGTTCGACGTTGCTTAACATCGGTGATCGTACAGAAACCAGTAATTTCAACATGATATAGCCGTAAGCCTTAAGGGACATGACACCTATAGAGAGAGGAACACTGCCCTAGTTTATAAATAATGAGAAACTAGGGGATATTCAATATGTATACACTAGACTAGATCAACAATTCCGTAGCTTGACACGTAGTTGAAATTTGAGTTGAGTATATGATAGACATAAATATAAAGACATAAATAGAAATGAATGAACAGATATGAATAGGTTAAGATACAAACAGGATGAGATCGATACAAAAAGAATGAAATCTATAGAAAAGGGATTGTGATTGATATAACCAGAATGAAACATATGAACTGAACGAGATATACCAATAGAAAATAGAAGGCGAAAGAACAGAGAGCAACATAATATCAAAAAGGAAGAAAGAACCAATAAAAAATATATAAAGGAATAAAACACAAAGAAAGTAAAGGATCAAGGCTATAAAAGTGTACTTACAATCAGAAAGAGACAACTGAAACTCTTGAGACACATGATGAGGAAAGACGGCCAGGAGAATTTAACATTCACATGACATAGTGAAGACAAGAGAAAAGGGATTAAGAGGAACGTTAAAAAATCAAAAAATGTTATTTTGTTGTGTGTGTTATGTATTCGTTTTCATGTGTGTAAACAAATAAGAACTCAATTGAAATATACTTTCAATTAAATACAATTTATCGTTGTTATTTCGGAAAAATTTGTCCAATATACTGAGGATAGAACTACATCACCTTACACACACACATTAATGCTGAAATATATATATATATATATATATATATATATATATATATATATATATATATATATATTAGTCAATAAAATACAAGATCCTCATATGGTGATATTACATTTTTTAGATTTAACTTATCTTTATAAAGTTATATTTTTTTATTTTATTTATTTATTTCATTATATTTTATTTTTAAATGTATAATTTATTTTATCTTATATTTTTTATTTCTAAATATATTTTTATTCTTTAATATAACCTATTGATTTTACATTAAATATAACTTATTTTAAAATATAATTTTACTTAATTTTAATATAAATAATTTAAATATGACTATTTTTTAAAATTTTTTTTTCTTTGGAATATATTTTTTTTTAAGTAAGATTTTGTATTTTGAAACATAACTTTATCAATATATTTTAAGTTATTTTTTTAAAGAAACCTTTTTATTCCTCTCTTAGTTTCAAATTAACATTTAATTCTTCATATAACTCCAATTCAATGTCATAAGGTTAATATTCGGGTTTAATTTTATAAAACCTCTTCCCTTTAAGACTAATATCTTCCACTCTCACCTGACTATTGCCTCGTGCCTTTCGTCTGATTGAAACATTGAAATGGATACATTCTATATTAGTTTTTCGACGTTTTTTTCCTCTTTTTTGTAGCTTTCACAGTTAAATTTCTAATTCCTACATGAACTCAGTCTATACCAGGGTTGAATAAGACTGGCAATTTTTATTTTTCCGTCGGTTGAAATAAGCTTATTCTTCATATGAGGTAATTTTGGATTGTATTGTGTATTAATTATTTGCCCTGTAATAATAAATAGATCGAGCTCTCTTTGTGGAGCAGTTTTAATATATTATATTACTAGGATTGACTTGGATTATATACTAACTTATTATATATATATATATATATTGTGTGTGTGTGTGTGTGTGTGTGTGTGTGTGTGTGTGTGTGATTAAATATACTTTTAAGGTATGCTATATTTATGGGTTAAAGTGCTCAATATCAGGGATAGCTTGTATGTAACTATAAAAGTATAGACATTCAAGTTAACACCCAGAGGCGACAGTTCTTTCATTTTTTCCCTATAATGTTCAAAAGTTTAAATGTAATTTCACTTCAATCAAGGTAATAAAACTATTAAGATGAAAGGGGTTACTCAGTGTTGGCGAACACAAGGAAAATATATTAAGGAGAGAAGCCAATAAAAACAATTAAAAGGACAGAAAATATCGATTAGCATTGCATTTAAATTTCTGAAGATCAAAGTTGGCTGAAACACAAGAAGCTGAAAGAAATTTTATGTCTTATATATATATATATATATATATATATATATATATATATATATATATATATATATATATATATTAAATCTTTAACGTTGCCTCTAGGCGATTAAGTTCTGTTGAAGCAATTGTCACAAATCAAATATTATTATTTCAAAGACACGCAGATAATCAAGGAAATAAAAAATCCTATTTTCTTTCTGGCTCCAAAGGCGCTCTAAGGAAGGAGATTTTGTGAAATATTTTCTTCTTTTCTTTGCATGTCAGGTGACTGTTTACTGTCGAGAGTTAATGGAAATTATATATGTTTCTTTTTTGATTAACAAGTATGAGTCAGACAAATTATGAAGGGTCGCGGAAACAATTGGCATTGTTTCTTTTTTTTTTAATTCTTTAGAATTTCAAATTTTACACAAGTATTCGCAGCAGTCACTATGAAAGGTAAGTTAAAAGGCTGCAAAACCAAGTCACCTTCTTCATCGACCTAAGCTCAATCCAACCATGTGTAAAGCGCTATAAATATTTATATCAGTGGTTTGATTATAAATAGAGTCACATGAGAGAATATTAATAATGCGAAAAACAATATGTAAGTTTTTGAAGCGTTTACCTGGTTGATGGGCGAGTCTCATCCCGGTGTAGTATTTTCCTTTTAATTAATTCCTTTTCTTCTTTTTATAAAGAATTCCCTCTTTGATCAATATAACTAATTTGATTTCCATCGATATTGTTCAAAACGACACTATGCGCTTGGTTAAAAAGAATTTATTGTTTCTTTCGAGAATCTACTGGTGTCCAACTGATGACTTTTGATGATATATTAGACGCACTAAATACCTAAAATCGTTCTGCGTTTTGTACAGGAAGATGAAGAATCTCATAGGCTAATTTTATCCCTAGAGCTCACTACTGTAGGATACAATGTTACCCCAGACGATGACTACCACCTATAAATTATTATTATTATTAGTAGTAGTAGTAGTTGTTGTTTGAGAAACCCTGTGGCCTCGCGAACTAAAGTACATTGGAACAGATGGTGGTTTCTCTTATAAAGAAGGGCGCAGGTACCAACCTTGTCGGAAAGTATATTCTCTTTATCAAGTTTCTCGAATAGAAGTAATTCACACTGTTTAAAAAAATCAGGGTGTCAACTCAGACATGGGTATACAAAAATATCGTTATATATATATATATATATATATATATATATATATATATATATATATATATATATATATATATATATAAAATATAATGAAAAAGACTTGGTCTGAAGATCGCAGATTTCGTATGTGTAATTGATAATCACCATGCAAGTGTTGATTCCTTTATCCATCTACACAGTCTCTTTCTTTTTCTCTCACTCACTCTCTTTCTCTCTCCATATATATATGTGTGTGTGTAAGAGAGAGAGAGAGAGAGAGATAATATTAGTGGTAAATATGCACATACATAAGCAAAATATATAAATATATATGCAGACATGCATACCCATGCATATATATTTTGTATAAAAAAAATTCCAAGAGGATATATTTCTCTCACTTAAACCGTCTTTGACTCTCCTCTCTAAAACTTCTCTCTGTTAAATTTTAATCCCCTACCTTCTCTCGTCTGTTACCCCTCTCTATAGCTCTAACATTCGTCCCACACTCTCATACTTACTCTCTCTCTAAATTTTATTTTTCATTTCCGGAGTTGTTTTTTTCTGTTTTCTTTTTGAATTTGTAGGTCTGATGAATTGGATCGTATTTACGATTCCAATGGAATAAATTATGACCATATAATATTAGTGTTGTTTTTTTATATATATATATATATATATATATATATATATATAGAGAGAGAGAGAGAGAGAGAGAGGCAGAGGGAAAGACTTATTTTTGGAATTAAAATATGTACTTGTCTTTTAGGTCTTTTGATGTGGCTCATATATATTCTTGGAGTTGTGAATATCTAAACGATATTACTATGAAAAAGAAATCCATTCATTTGGAAAACCATATGATTAGTGGAGAAACAAAAATCGGTCACATTTGGACGAGGCAATCGTTTCAGCAAACAATGGCGCGCCAACATAACGCATCTTTCAGATGGTTGCCTTCAATCCCACGTATCTGTTTACTCATTCATAAATTCACAGGATTGTGAATGCATGTAAATGCATGCTGTCAGACTGACTCATACATGTGCGCATGCGTAGATGAAAAACAATCGTCTCAATATAGACATTGGATCAAAGGTAAGCATGAAGTAAAAGCCGCAATATGTATGTGCGTGTGTATGAGTGCTTGCGTATGAGTGCGTGCGTGCGTGCGTGCGTGTGCGTTTTGAGTAGACATCCATTGAACAATGTCTGGTCGATATAGATAAAATCGATCTGATCACCTGAGAATAAAAATCGATAATGCTACGATATCTTTAGAGATATCAAAATCAAAGAAAACTCTGTGTGTGTGTGTATGTGTGTTTGTATGTGTGTGTGTTCGTTTGCTTCTGCGTGATAGTGAGAATGATAGAGAAAGAGAGGAAAAGAAAGAACGATTAAAAGGGGAGATGAAAAAGAGAGAATGGTTAAGAGCGACGCATAAAAATGATGATATAGTAATAAAAGAAGAAAATGCCAAGAAACGGGACACAGAAAAGAAGGGAGGAAAAAATAGAGAAAGAAGATTAAAAGAAAGGTCAACAAAAAGAAAGAAAGAGAAATGCTCATGAAAAGGGAATGTTTTTTGAAAAAGAGGAAAAAAGAAAGAAAAATACAGGAGAATGAAAGAAACAGAAAGAAAAAGAAAGAAAGAAAGAAAGAAAGAAAGAAAGAAAGAAAGGAAGAAAGAAAGAAAAATGAAAAGTTTTAAAAAGGAAAAGGAAAAAAGAAGAAAATACATGAAAAAGAAAGAAAAAGGTTCAAAAAATAAGAAAGGGGGAAAAAGAAAAGGAAATGAAAAGCGAAAGTTTTAAAAAGAAAAAGGAAAAGAATGG